CGGCGACGGTAGCGCGGCCGCGCTGCCGGCCGAACCCGTAAACCCTGAACCTCATAACTTTTTATATACGCTACCCCACGCGCGATGGACACGCACGGCCTCAAGTCTTCGTAGCTCAGTTGGTTAGAGCGCAGGATTCATAACCCTGAGGCCGCCGGTTCGAGCCCGGCCGAGGACAAAGCTGCCTTTTGCCTGCAACGTGTTGCTTGCTGACGCCTCCAATGCAACTGCTTTTCAGGCTTGCTGCCTCTCGGACTTCTTTAATGATGACAACTGGGTTTCTCTGCCGCGATGAACCACCTTGGCCTACTACCCTGAGCCAGCTGGGAGCGCATGGTAGTGCATGGTATTGGACTGGAGCTCAAGTGGCTTCAAGGCGGGGCTGCCGATGCGCCCAGCAGTTACTCAGGTGCACAACTGTGGCACATCAGCATCAAGCATACCGTGTTTACTTGATAACTTGGTTGATGAAAGATGTGCGTGGGGCTGCTTCCTGTGAGAAAGAGACATGCTCAGTGCACTTGAGCGCCACAACGCGATGAGCCTTGAGCTACCACTTATGCTGAGGTATCGGTCAAACGAGTGGCATTCGGGTCAAGCGTGCCGTGTCTGAGCTCAGCTGCGCCATGATGTTCCTTTGGCGCACGTGTGCCCCAAATGGTGGGCTAGATAATTCTGGTACAGAGGTCGCATTTTGGGACCTAGCTTCCCTGGGTGCTGACACTGCGTCTCCTCGGTGCCGCTGACAGCGCGCTCCTGGCAAGGCCGCGAACGGGAACATAAGCAGACCCCGCGTTGGTTCAGCACCTTTGACCCTAAGCCGCTAGTCGGCTCTCATCACTCCCCTTCGCCTGCAGCCACAATGGCCGCGGCGATGCAGACTTCGCGGGTAAGTGGACGCGACCAGGGTGGAGATCGGCCAGCAGCCCCGTCGTCCCGCGGACTTGCTCAATTATCTTATTATATCCCGCAGGCCTTCTCCGGCCTCGCCCCATGCGCCCAGAGGCGCTCGCTGGTGGCAGGTGAGCGGGGCAGTGCTGTCGGGCCGCTTGGGGCTTTGCCTGTTCACCATGCAGCAGCTCACTTGCTATATCTACGCAGGTCTGCCCCTTCTGGCGCCGCGCAGCCGGCCCCAGGTGCGCGAGGCCTGGGGCCCCTTTGGCGCGGCCGCCAATTTGTGGGCGCTGCGGTGCCCCTAGCACGAGCAGCATGTGCAGCTGTGCCCATGCATTGCCGGCGGCGCTGGCATCACCAATGTTGTTGCGTGAAGTGCACTCTCATTGCTGCAATTAAACAGCTGCCCCTGCGTGCCCGTCTCTCTGTGGCGGGCACGTCACGTGGGCGGGCCCCAGGCGGTTCCGCCCCACGACGTGTTGCATGTGCAAACACGTCACACACCTCGCATGCAGCCTCATGCGCACCATGCGGACGGTGCTTCATGCTCACGCGCTCATGCGCCCCTGTTGCAGGTGGCGCGCAAGGCCGCCGCCATCCAGGTGCCCATCATGGAGCTGTCTGACGCGGATCGTGCTCAGGTGAGGGTTGCATGCGTGTGCATGCGCGCGCGCGCATGTGCGCGCGCGTGTGTGTGCGTGTGTGTGTGTGTGCACGCGTATGTCTTCCTTGAAAATGGGTCCATGCAGGTGTGCGTGGGCGGCGAGGAGCCCAGGGAACGAGGCGCGAGCCGCGTTGGGGAATGTGGTGGGCCGTGCGGCGGCGACAGCCCACGGATACAGGGATACATTCAGGAGTGGCGGGCGGCCGGGCGGGCACCGGGGCGCTGCAGGGGGGGAGAAGGGCGATTGCAGGCGGCGACGGCGTGCGCACCGCGGAAGCCTGGCGTCCGAGGGCGGGGGAGGGGCGCCGAGGCCCTTGCAGCCCGGGCACAGGCGCCAGGGGCGCGGCAGAGGGCGTGCGCGGGCGGCGCACGTGGGCGGCGCAGGCTGCACGCATGCGCGCGCTCTCGCTGGACCCCTGAGCAACAGCAAAAGCGGTACGCAACGCTGGGGCGCGCCACCATTACCACCATCATCGCCGCCGCCGCCGCCGCTCCAAGGCTAATCAACATCGCTTGTTCACAAACATCATTTTATAATGCTATCAGATGGCGAAGGAGCTGGGCTACATCCAGATCGGCCGGGAGGTGCCCTCCAGCTACTCCCTTACTGATGTGGTCAAGTCCATGCCCCAGGAGTGAGTCAACCCGGCCTCTTGACACAGCCAGGGCTCCCCCCGCTTGTGGTGCCCTGGAGCACCGCGGGATGCTTGTTTTGAGGGGCGGCCGCGGGGCCCCGCGGGCGCGGGCGGTCTGGCGTATGCGTCGAGGGGTTCCCGCGGGCGGTTGGGCGCGCGGCCGTGGGCTGCGCTCGGGCCACTGACTCGCCCAGCGCCGCGGGGTCGGTGACCCTGGCAGGTGGGGGTTTCCTGGCATCTTTTTGGCTTTTCCTAGGCTTTTCCTAGCTTTGTTCTAGCTGTCTCCCCAGCTGGTGCTTCTCTGTAGGGTTGCATTGTCGGTGTCTGGCTCAGTCCCGCCTGTGGGGTCGACGACACAGCGTCGCCCCCCCCCCACCGCCATGCACAACATACACTCTTTGAAAGACGGCAATCTCGCCAACTCTCCACTCCCGACTTGCCAAACCACTCAAC